ATTTTGGTGTCATCAGCGAATTTAAACAGGTTACTTTCCACCCCTTCATCCAGATCGCTGATGAAGAAATTGAACAGCGCAGGCCCCAGGACCGAGCCCTGGGGGACTCCGCTACCCACCTCGCCCCAGGTCGAATATGACCCATCCACCACCACCCTCTGAGTGCGACCCCTCAGCCAATCTGCAGTCCATCTGACTGTGTAGGCATCGATGCCACAGTCACCTAGTTTTTTAACTAGGATGGGGTGAGAGACGGTGTCAAAGGCCTTGCTGAAGTCCAGAAAGAAATGACAAGGTCGAATGGTCACAAACTCCTTCATGACCATTTCAGGTTGGACATAAGGAAGAACTTCTTTACTGTCCAAGCCCCCAAGGTTTGGAATAGACTGCTGCTGGAGATGGTTCAAGCACCCACTCTGAATGCCTTCAAGAGACATTTGGATGTTTATCATGCTGGGATCCTATGATCCCTGCTGACTTACTGCCCCTAGGGCAGGCGGCTGCACTCAATGATCTTCCAAGGTCCCTTCCAGCCCTGTCTATGAATCTATGAAAAAAAAAGTGTGGGGGCTGCCCGCTGAATAGCCCCTCACTAAAGCACACTTGTGCCCCAGCCAGCCCCTCAGCAGCATGTTGGGCTGGGTTGGAGCAGCCCCGGGCTAGCAGGCTGACCTCCAGGGCCCCCTGCCAGCTGGGGCTGCTCTGACCCGGCTGAACATGCTGCAGTCCTAGATGAACCTGTAGACGTGGTGCCCAGGAGCAATAAACACCAGTGCAAACTGTACCAGAGTTAATTGCATTGCACTAGTATCACACGTAGAAGTGCCTACCAAGGCTCAGATAGTGACCAGTGGGGAAGAGAAGTAGCGTGGATTGTTTCCAACCTAATTGAAAAAGGAGTAAAGAAGGCAGTTCCACCGGCTGCTTACTATGCCCCAAAAGCTCTCTTAACAGATGCTGTACTTTGTAAACTATTTCCGTATGGGGGAAATTGAGATTTGTTAGAGCTGAAATATGACATTTGAAAGTGGAACTAAGTGGTATATGAGCACAGCAGGTCAGTGAGTTACAGAGAAGCATGGCAACTCAAGTATACAGTAGACATGTGGCAAGCGCTTTTACCCCTAAACCTTTGTCTTCGCAGTTATCAGATTAGAACATTCCTCTGCACTCCAAGTGATTGCATCAGTCTTACTCGCATGGGAAACCAAAAATAACTTAATGCTTTAAAAGCACCCTGCAGTGTTTCAGAGCCAAGTGATTATTTGTAGGAGACTGAGCTGGTACAACTAATAGTAGCTTACCTGCGGTACATGTTAGCAACCCAATCAAGCAATGCGTAAAGTTCATTGAATTCCAAGTGTCTCTGCAAGAGCCCTTGCAGGTGTGAAGAAATGGCATTGTGGAAGCACTCCACGTACGTGTCACATACTTTATAGTCCTCTGGGTAGCATTTTTGTACTGAGCACTTGATTTTCAATAAATCCTCCTTAACATTTTTTCTGAGGAACCCTAAATGGACAGCAAGCCAAGAATCCTTGTCCTTCTCAGGTGTCATGGGCACCTGAAGGATGCGCCCTTCTGCACTCTCTTTGACAGAGTCCTTCCACACCTCTCTCCACTTCCTGGGCATGCCAAGGGAGGGTGACTCAGGAGATTCTGTCCCCTCTGCCCTAGCATGAGCTTTTTCTTCATCAGAGATTAGCTCCACCAGCGAAGTCAGTAGCTTTTCCTCTATACTGGGATGGTCCAGTGTGTCCTTCACGATGGACTTGATTTTATTAGCAATGGAATTGTAAAGCAAATCCACATCTTTGACTTTCCTGGAAAATTCTGTGGACTTGTCATCAGAATCCTTGCCATCCATTTCAGTCACAATTTCATCTTCCAAATATTTGATGCTTTGAAAGGCCTTTAAAAGCTGCTTTTCCTGAATAAGTTCATTTATTTCCATTACTACAGAAAGAATGTGACAGGGGAGAAGGAAGCAGATTTTAAATTAAGGTTAGACATTGAATATGTTTATGACAACAGCAAAATACCACAGGATTCAGGTTTGTGTGAGTAAGGGCTGCAGGACTGACTCAGCTCTCAAGTGCCTCCTGTGTGCATAGAAGTATTCCAACTGCACATATGCAACAGATCACCTTTAATCTGCCTAACTCGTGTTTGATAGCAAGGAGAAATGTGGTTATAAGGAACTCACTAATGTACTGTTTCCATCTCTCTCCAAAAAGCTTGTTTCCAAATAATACCCTTCACAGGAGAAGGAATCTTGGAAAGTTTAATTGGCACCCAGAGGGGAATGCATCAGATACTGGACAAGCTGGGGCTCCAGGCAGACATGAGACCCTATAGTTGTGCCCCTCTTCTGATTTGGGCCTGAACTTGAATTTGGCTGCACAGGCTTCTGTCTGCTGAAGTAGCCTTCTGGCTGGCTGCTTTTGTTGTGTATGTCAAAGCAAAGTGGTGTCACTGGTGAGTGGCTACTGAGAACCAGTCTGGCTGCATGGATTTCACATTGATCATGAGCAGGGAGGTCCCCAGGCAGTCCTGCACTTTTGCTGTTGCAGGAGTAGCAGCAGCCCAGGGCACATGATGTGTTGTTGTTGCAGTGAGAACTGGGACAGGCAAACCCCATGCTCAGCACCTCTTCCCCTCTGACACTCAGAGGCACCCCCCACCTGTCTGTAAGGGTCACAGGGTACAAACCCCACTAGTTATACCTCTAGGCTAGGGACAGATGTTCAAAAAGCCTGAGCCTGAGTTAATTCAATCTTTGCACGTTAGTCTAACCTGGCTAGGCTGAACTGGTTTGTAACCGGAAAGTCATTCTTTCTGGACTGAGGAAATTCTGGTACATGCCTGCAGTGGCTCCAGCTAAAAGCCAGGGGGCACTAGAGCAGCCTTCCCTTCCCTTCCACAGGGCTGAGCTGAGGAGTGGGGGGGGTGGGGTCAGGCCCTCGCAGGATACTCTGATTAGGGAGGGGTGTAAACCCCCACCTTGCCTGCACAGTCCCAGGTTTTTCCCTGCTGGCTACTCAAGGGGCAGGAGTATTGCCAGACCCCAGCCTCCTGCTAGCACTCTGAGGCAAGGCAGGGTGTGCAGTGCATGCATCTGTTGATGATACAGAGCTTTCCAATCTCCCTCTCCCTGCTTCTTTATACTGTCTGCAGCAAACTGACAGGTGAACAAGCCAGCAGGGACCTGATAACAGTGTTTATCACCTCATTAGCAAAACAATAGCCTCTCTTCATTAGTTCAAATTCTTCTTAAGCAGCTTAACAGCTGACCTGTTGATTAGCTCCAAAAAACCCTAAGCAGTCACTGTTCTGTTTTCCAGTCTCAGTGAAATTGGAGACACACACAGGCACTTCTCGACATTAGCTATCATACCACATGCCTAGGGTTTGTGGGGCTGTTGTCCATACTGTGGGAGATGGGAGGGACGGGGGATCCCTGCTTCAGCAGCAAGCAGCCAGGGGGTGGAGTAGGGGAGGGGGAAGCCAGGCAGACCCTGCTGTGCCTGCAGTTTCTGCTGGAGCTCCAGCCAGAGAGCAGAGGGGAGGGGCCAGCCCTGCTGTGGAGCAGATAGCCCCACCCAGCCCAGAGAACATGCTGGGATGCTGGGGGAGTCTGGTTTATCTTAAACCAGCAAAGGGTCTGGGACAGACATTGCATAAATGGGTTTGAGCCAAATCAGTTAAGTCTGATAGTACATTCAACCAGGTATATCTCAAACTGGTTTTCAGACTGGTTTATGTGCACTGAACAGCTGTTCTGTTACAGATTTAAACTGGTTTCTGATCACTTAAACCGGTTTATGAGTAACATCTGTCCTTTGCCCTAATGACTGCCTTCCAGCTGTATAATACTCTACCTCTACTAGTCCTCCCAGCAAAGCTGGTCATGTGGGCACCCTGCATGGCTTACCCCCTAGATAAAAAATGATGTTTGAGGGAGCAGGAGGCAAAGGGGAATTTACAGGACCCTGGTAAGGGGGTAGGTGGGAATGGAGAACCCTATTATAGGGCACAGGATACACAGAGCCCCAAGCAGGAGGAAAAGGCTGAGTCCCTGGTGCGAGGATTTGGTGAGCTTGGGAAGAAGAAAAGGGATGGCAACACAGAGTTCCTGCCATGGCAGACGAGGAGGTTGGGGCACACTGAACCCTGGCAAAGGAAGATTAGGGGGAGATGCACAGGGCTCCTGAAATTGAGAGAAAGCTGTAGTGTAGAATGGAGGAATTCAGGGGCACAGACAGAAGTGACAATTATCACCCAATCTGGCCACAGAAAGCAGTCTATAGCCATGATCAAACACAAGTGCATGGCTGCAAACAACTTCAAAAATGGCTAACTGTGTGAAAACCTGACCCCTCATTGCATGAGGGCTCAGATGAAGATGTTTCAAAACAGAGCATCATCTGTAACATCTGTCTGCATTGCCTGCCAGCCTTCATCTGTTTTTAGAATGGGAGGGGTGAAAGAGAGTGAAGGGAGTTCAGTCTGGGTGTTTTTAAGCCCCTACTGGAGGGTGGGGTGGGTGTACTGGAGCCTCCCTCAAGATGGCGGGCTCCATTTCACCCACCCCACCCTTCAGCATCAGCTGGGGAACCCCTAAAACAAGCCTCTCTTCCTTTCCCTCCACCCCCATTCTGAAAACGTTGCAACCTCACAGGCAGCAGAGGCCATTGCTACAGGCTGCAGCTAGCAGTTAGATTCCTGTCCACCCTGGAACAAACGGTGAACTTCTGTTTGGTTTGGCGGATTGTTGTAACTCAGAACACTTCCTGTAAAGCATTCTGAGTTACAGCGGGGAGCTGCATTTCTGTCTGCACCACAGGAGCCCTGGCATGTACTGGGAATTCAGCCTAGAGATGCCACAAGATGTGCAGTCCCACGTTTCAAATAAATCTGGACACTGGTTAGCGTTGACACGAATTCTCAGGCTTTTCCATTGGGGAGGGGTGGGGAAATCCAAGAACTCTTCCTCTATATTCCTCATCACACGGGTGTCAGAAATGAGCATCTCCCACTCGGAGGAATTACTGTCCCCTGCGGCTTTGCAGAACAATCCCAAAAGCACCTGGAGGGACCCCACAGCCAGCTCTGTACCTCTCCAGGCCAAAGTGAAGGCATCTTGGTACAAACAATTTGAACCAAATTGCATTGGCTGATGCACAGTTTGGGCCATGTTAGGCCCCACATATTAGAATCCAAACAGGGGCTAACCCCAATTACATTTTCCACTTTCATTTCAAATACTGCTGCAGAAGTCCTGCCCCAGGCACTGCGCCCATTAACTGTAATCTGATTCTTGTTCAATTGGTACAAAACCTGTGTATACAAGTTCTTACAATGAGAGACCTAAATGAGTTCAATGTAGTCCATTTATCAGGGAGAAAGTTAAGAAGCAGCTTGACTGCACTTTAGAAGTACTATTCAGGAAAGAGATATCTGATAATAAATGACTCTTTAATATAACAGCCAAAGGCTAATTGCTAACTGGGTATTTAAAGCAGACAACTGAAGGGCAGTTAACCTTTTGAACAGCTTGCCAGCGTGCATGGTGTAGTCTCCATCATTTGCAATCTTTAAACCCAGATTGAATGCCTTCATAAGGTACGGCTACTCTGATAGTTAGGGTTGAACCTTCAGCCACGTACTCCCTTTCCCAATAGCCCTCACCAAAGCCACTGCCAATATATTTATCTGTAAGAAAGAACCCTTTTATGAACTACTTGTCTCTCTACCCAGGCTTGTCTCCATTTAATAGCAGTACAGAGAGGAAATGTGATACAAAAGGGTCAGAAGTCAGGATCAGGGAATTGTGGGATTGCCGTCAGTCCTTGAAGCCTGCACACCTGGCCAAGTTCAACCAGGTGCAGAAAAGTGCAGGGCAGGAGGCAAGTGGCAGCAGGCTTTACCTCATGATGCTCAGCAAAGCTCCCAGGGTGGGACTGGCCTGCCCCCAGAAACTGAGTTAAAGAGTTAATAGTCAGCAGATATGGGCTTTAGAGCAGCTATCAGGTCAACCCCTGCTATCAGTTTAGATACGACTTAAAATAGATGCTCTAATTCAACCACAAGTTCTTGGGGCTCAGTCAGATACAACAGCACATATTTGTAGGAGGTCAGGCTGCATTATCATCATAGTCCTTTTGGTCATGACTGATGTATCTAGGTAAGGAGATGGACACAATTGACAAGATTTGAGCACAGCCAGTTGACAAACTTTGGACTGCATCACTACAAGCATGTACCTTCGTTGATATGGATTTCACTGGTGTGAAGAGGCCTGAAAAGGCCTGGCTGGTGTATTTCTGGCTTTGGAGTGTGGCTGTGGGTGGGTGGTGTGTGGATGAGGTGTCTGGCCAGACCACGCCACCACCACTGTGCAGATGGGCCTTTAGATGGCCACTGAAAAGCCTGTTCTGGGCTCTCCTTTGGTGTCTGAGTGAGTTTTCCCCTGTGCTTGGCCATTTACATGAGACCTTTCTGTACTCAGGACAGTCTCTATTGTACTTGGGTTCTGCTTTGCTTGACTGTTATTACAACTCCGACAATGCTTTTACACTGATTTTTATTTTCACTGCTTACCTGAGAGAGGTTCTTTTTTAACATGCTCAGCTTCAGTCTCTTCCACACACTCTTCCATGCAGGGGGCTTCCAGGTGGTAGTCCTCTTCATTTCTTTTGGGGTTCTTTCGTTTCAGTAAAAAGTGTTTGCTCTTTCTCAAGCTGCCAAAAGTGTCTCTCGTCAAGGTGAACACATTTTTAAAATCCTTTATAGGGCTTGTTACATTCTTCTCCCCCTGACTGTTCAAGTCATTTACTGTAGAACTGGAATCAGCTTTTTCATCCACCGGGCCTTTTAGTGGAGACACTGGCTTTGAAATAGACTTCCTTTTTTCATTGGCCACAGGTGTCTCTTTTTTATCTTCATCCATCTTGGCAATAATCAGTTTTCAGAAGGACAAGGGAAGTACTGAAACAAACAAAACAACAGAATCACAGGGTAGGACTGGGTTGTGCTAGGATATTGCTCCCTCGTGAGTCAGTCTTCGGCCACACATTTTGGTATTCATCTCTCTGCCCCCAAGCTACAGCTTGTGTGTGGTGCACTACTGTCCCCTGCTAGAGACTGGCTCTTCTGCACTGACTGTATAGGCTCCTGCTTTCAGGGCTATATATCTCTGCTTCAGATCCTGGTGTTGACTAAATTAGTAGCCATCTCATAAACCCCAAAGCACAGCTGTGTTCAGGAGGGTATGTGCCCTGACCCACCAAACCTCTGCTGTCTATATCTGTATTACATAGATATCTTTCTTTCTTAGATGAGTCTAAATGAGTTCAGGTCAAAAAGGCAGATGTGGGCTGTCACACTTCAGGTCATCTACCTCGCACCTTGGGGTTTGGCAGCAGCGGCTCTGCTTAGGCAGTGAGATCTGAAGGCATTCAGCCCTGGGCCCTGGCTCACAACGTGAACAGTCAGTTCCAGACATCACACCGCACCGACTGCAGCAAGTTTGAAAAGCTTCAGACTTCTCCTCCGGCTCCTGACATCAGAAATCAAAGTGCCGTGTGCTCTGTGCTCCGAATTGTCATGGTTACAGTTCTGCAGGGGCTACACAATGCAGCGGAAGTTCGCATTGCACGCTCTGTCTCAAAGCACTTTGAAGCCAAACATAGACCAGTGTCAGCCTGGAAACATCTCATAGATGGATCTTTATCCCAGAGCCTCTTGTGAGCCTTGTCTATACTAGGGACATCTAGAAACAGGTTTCCACAATTGCTAAAATATGAGGAGTTCTGGGGCAGGCAGCAGTTGCCACTATTTTGTGTGCTCTGTCACCCAGCAATTTCTCATCCTGGTAAAGGGCTGAATCATAACATTAGACTCCGCTCTGCTCATGGGATAGGGATATAAACTGTGCTGTCCTAGAATAGGCCCTGTACCAAAGGCACCACCTGGAGATCAACTTCTTTCCACCTGCCTTTCGCTTAGGAGGTCTGATTGTGTGTTTTCCTGCCTGCAGGTGGCATTGCCAGTTGCCCCTGGCAAACAAGCCAAATTTGTACTGTTTAGGTAACTCCCTGCGGCCACAAGTCTCTTCTTGGCTAGCTGGGTAAAAAGGATCTATAGTGAGAGTCTCTCCTTCCCATGGATGGTGGCGCTGCTACTTACAAAGCAGGAGGCTGAGGTGTCTCCCTTGCCCTATGCTAGCTTCTGTACTGGAAGCAATTTACCACACTGCTCCTTTCTTGCCTGGTTGGGTTATCCATTAAGAGGGTGTTTCAGGCTTTTCTGCCCCATACCTCTGGCTTCAGCAGTTCCACACAGAGAAAGAGCTCACAAGCAGGGAAAGCCTGCGATGCACTTCCAGGACTTCCTCTGAGACAAGGGGACAGAGTGTGGCCTATGCTCCGAAGACCAAAATAGCAGACCCTAGGGAGACATGGACCATAACAAAGGCACCAGCCAGTGGAAAGTTCTCCGACCTTTCTGATTACAAAGAGAACTTCACACATGACCTGACTGTGACCACTGTAAAGATGTTTGCCTGAGTTTGTAAAGAGCCTGAAGCACTCGTTCTGAGAGAAGGAAACTACCTGAGTCATCTCGATGGGGCTGTTAGCTCAGACGCTCAGTGATGATAATTTAAGTGATTAACTAGTTCATAACTGACCAAAGCTTATGAGAAAGGGAGGAGCAAGCATTTTACAGAGATCAGCACACTGTGCAGTGACGTTCCACGTGGGTGCTGCAAGCAGATCACTTTGAGGCAAGGACCACTACTTCATTGTGGCCCATGTATCCCTAAGCATAGAGAGAAGAAATAAAGCCTAAAGAACACACCTCAGCCCTGTTATGGAGGAAATAATCCCACCGAGGTACCCAAACCTTTGCACCAACCAAGCTGGGCTCCTGAGAGTGCTGGTGTCTATGGGACCGAGCAATTTGTGCCCTTGTTCTAGTCATTGCTGCTCCTCTCTGTGGAGGAGGCTGCTCGCAGACACGCTGCAGGACATGCGGATTACACTTGCAAGCTCCTGCACAGTGTTGAGGGCTAGGAAGGGCGTTTCTGGATGACTTTGTGTGAGCAGGGCTCCGAGGCTCGTGCCACTGCCTGTCTGGCTCTGGCTCAGGCTCTGCCCCTGCGGAGGAGCTAAGACCATCCATGCCCGCGCCTGCAGCAGGTGTTCACACTTCGAACACCTGTACAGTTGGTGAGTGGCAGGGCCAGCTGGCTTCCCTCCTGGGTTGGGCTCTGCGTGTGGAGCTTGGGAGAGCGTTGCCACTTTATTTTTTGCCTGCCGATTTGAGCTGTGTGCATAACAGTGGGTAACCTTGCCTGGCATCTAACAGTGTGAGAGCCTGCTGCGTGATCCTCCAGATGGGCCAGTAGACTCAGCCTAGCCACTGCTCTGCACTACAAGCAAACGGAGCCATGATGCACATTTCAAAAGGGACCAGCCAGCAGAGCTGAGCCAATGCAAGGGGCTGGGATGAGTAACTGGTGCCTCCTAACAGGGTGTCACAAGCAGCTTCTCCTCTGGAGCCAGGGAAGAATGGAAATACTGTTTAACCAGTCCTTGTCTTGATCACTAAGGAAGGACTCAGTCTGGCCCAATAGGCAGGAAGATGGGAGAGAGATCTAGGGTGCCAGTCACTTGATTTCCTTCTGTACCCGCTTCTCCATCAGTCTGTCTGGATCCATCTGTCATCTCTTGTCTCAGACTGGGCAGCTGTTTGGAGCATGGGCCGTCTTTTCATTCTGTATCTCCCAGTGCCTCACACCAGGTTGTCCAGGCTGACCACAGTAAAAATATAGAGCATGCACAGCTCAGCTCCAGCCCTGAATCACCTCAGAGATTTTACTATTTTAACCTCCCCTTAATCCCACCCCCTCTCCTATTTTGTTATAATTTTACTGCCGTGACTTCGATTCACTTCCAAATTGCAGCCCTATCTCCTCAGACTTTACTTTTATATGTTGAGGCCTGACTGCAGTCAGGCTTCTCTATCTCTTTTACCTTTCCATGGGTGATTGCTTCATGGCTGACAAGCTCTTTGGAGCAGGGGCTGTTTCTAAAATCTCTAGCACAATCAGTTCCTCCCTGAGGCATAAAGCAATGGCGATTTTTATTCAGGACTGTTCCTGTTTTTCTTCTCACACTTTGTCAAAAGCCTCCTGTATATAAGCTATGAAAGGCATGCTGATGGGGTCCCTGTTTTCTACAATGATATGTGTAGAGGGGTGACTTCAGGGCTAGCCCCGCAGCGTGTTGTGGCGTATGTCACTACCTGCACGTAGTAGCTGGGGAAGGAAGCAAGGATTGAGAGGGGAAATTCCAGAAGAGGGGAAATTAAAAAGCTTTGGGTGGGGGGAGAAGGAGGGTTGGAGGGCTAAGACACCATCCTTTCAAGGGATCTCTCTGTTGGGGGTGCTGCAGATCCAGCCTCCAATCAAGCCAGGTCTGATTGTGGGACACCAGTGACAGTCCTGGCACAGCAGGTGTGGTGATGCAGAGCTGTAGAAATCTGCCCGGTGCAGGAAAGACAAAGGGCAGGACTTACTGGCCACATTGCCACAATGGTCCCACATGGCGTAATGTGGGAGCAGCATCTCAGAGTGCCGTAACCAGGCGCCTCTGCCATGTTATGGCGTCTGGGCTCTGGCACTAGCTGGAGAACATGGCAGGATCCTCCTGCCGGGCACAGAGACACTCACCTGAGTGAGCTGGCAGCAGGATCGTCTTGCTGTCCTCAGACACTAGCTGCTGATTCTTCTCCAGACTGCAAGCTCCTTGGCATCTTGTTTTATTTCTTGCTTCTTGTTTAATTTTTTTGTTTTCCAGGCGGTTTTAATGAAGCAGCTTGGAAGGGGAAGTAAGACACCGAGTCCCAGGCAAAGGTCTCCTGCAAGTGCTGAACAGTCTGTTCACCTTGTGGGTGTGAACTGCTGGTTTTCACTTTCACTCCTGCCCTGACAATTCAGCATGCTTTGGGGAAGGGGAGGGAGCATGCCCTGGGGGAATTCCAGGATTCAAGTGACTCATTTACAGTGAATGGGGAAAAGGGGAAGGACACAAGGACCCTTAAGCCTTCCAGTGCTCAGCTCTCCAGGCTGCTGCATTACCTTTTGGTTAATGCCTGGGTTCAGCAGGAACACAGCAAAACTTCCCCCTGCCCCTAGATGATGTAGGAATTGTTCCCCACAATCAACTGGCATGGCCTTGGAGGGGGTAGGGAGCTGCCTTCTTTAGTAGAGTGTTCCCTAAGATCTTCTGAGCATATTGCAGCCAGGCACAAAGCCCCCTTCCAGGGCAGGGGCAGGGCACTGACTGTGTTTATCAGTAGGGAAGTCGTAATGTGGTTCTTGGCATTCCCTGGCATTGTGCCCTGCAGCTGTGTTGTGGGCTTAGAATGGACATTTTCAGAGTCTTTGGGTAAGGGGCTGCCTGGGAGTGCAGGGCACTGGACCCCATAAGTCAGGAGGCCTCTTTCAGAGCTGTGTCCCAATGTCATTATGTAGCATTGTCACTGCTTTATGCCAACACAGGGTGAAAGACACTGCTCTGTTTCCCTCATGGACAAACAGTCCAAGTGAAGTGATCAAAAAGATGTTAGCCCATTTTCCTGTAGCCCTGGCTTAAGTGTCCCTTCACCTGCCAGGTTTAGGGTCGGCTGGTGGTTCAAATGCATCTCAAAGCAAATCTTGTTTGAAACTGCCACTGTTGTTATTATTATTTTGTTTGCACAACTGCAACACAGTGTCTTAAATGGCTCCAAATACCTTTTAATAATTTACAGATTTGTTCTACACAAAGGTCAGAGAAACCAGGAGAGCATGGTCTACATTTTGGTGTTAATGCTTTGCTCACCTTTTCTCCATGCATGGTGATAGGGTGCAAAGATGTGTACAAAAATGGGTTTAATTAGGGGTGCCTTTGTCTCAGAGCTATATGGCCAAAATGGAGGAAATCAGAGCCAAATATACAGAGTTCTTGAAGAATTGGTTTAGGGGGACATTTGGAAGAGCTAAATATTAATGCAAATACTTGGTTAGTAAGTTAGTCATTGCTAAATGCTTAAACCTTTTAAAGCCCTCAATTGTTAGAGCTGACAGCTGCTTGTTTCCCAGCAGGAAGGTTGTGTGGCTGTGGCTGCAGTCAGCAGAGATGCCTAAGTTAGGGCTTCTCTGTGCTATGTCAGTGGCAAGTCCTGGGGAGGACAGGACTAAATGTGCCTCCACCCACCCAAGGTTGTCATGTGCAGCTCCTATTGCTCCCTCCCATCCTTGCCAGAGACTGAGAGCTCATGGAGAGACGCTGGGGATTAGCCTGCAGGAGCAACACTGATGAACCTCCAGTGTGACTCAAGTAGGCAGGGCATGCTCAGTCGCAGACTCCATGACACTTTGCTGCCTATGGACAGACACAACAGCTGTACCAGTATTAAAATTAGACTGGTGTAAGCTGTTCCAATGTAACTGTTCCATTTACCCACTCCTCTACTGATACCAATGGAGCCAAACTGTTACATTACGCCTATCTTGTTCAGATTTAACATTGCAGAAGTGTAGCTTACTTAGGCCCCTGGCGTATGCAGGTAAAGGCAAGATGGGATCTGATGCAGGATCCCCCCCATCACGCCTCCTGCCATGCACATGTGGGGGCTGTGGGAATCCCACATCAGATCCCATCACACCTTAGTGCCAGTGTGATCCCAGGCTCCCCCTGCACTGGCAAGTAGTAAGCTCCTGCAGCTGGGAGTCCTATCTGCTGATCCAGGCTCCCAGTGGCAGGGGTGCACCATCTATTCCTGTGGCTGGGATCCCCCAGCTGATCTGGGGAGAGCTTGCTACTTACCCGTGTACTCCCACCACCCTGAACCTGGATAAGCTGATGGGGCTGTCAGCCACAGGGGCTCAGGGTGCACCCCCATGGCTGGGAGCTCCAGATCAGCTGGGAGACGTACCTTGCAGCTAGGAGACCTAGCCTGGTTACTAATTAATGGCATGGTAGGAACCAGCCACAAAGTTTTTGAACATTTTTGGTGTAATAACTTTGTTGTTTATTTCCTGTTTTATCAAACTATTAATTGCTTTAATGTGTAGCAGGTAACAACTTATGATGTGATTAACTGGTCAATCTCAGCGTAAGTGTAATGTCTGCCAGGGGATGTAGACTAGTCTGGGAGAGGACGGGCAAAATAGTTACACTGATACACGCTCCAGTCCACATTCCTCTTTTAAAACAGTTTAAAATGTACATCTGTCCACAGCATCTATTACCATGGTTTAAATAAGGTGTGGCCAACCAGTGGCATGTGCAGCCTCTATGCGTGACATGCGGCAGATTAGGGAGGGGACAGACAGCACAGTGGCAGATAGGGCAAGGAGCAGAAAGCAGACCAGCAGACCAGGCAAGGAAAGGGGATTTGAGGGGCCCTCAGGGAGGGTTTGGGGCTAATTTGTGGCACCCTACCAAAAAGGTTGGCCCCCACAGGTTAAGACAGGGCCTTGGGAACCCCTAAGGTAAAGCAAGAGTGTTGGCTGGTTTTACATGCTCTGCCAAGGTCCCACAGCTCTGCAGAAAACTCTCCCTGGGCCTGTGTCAGCAGACATTCATTTACCCCTTCATTTTTCCGCAGGGGCTTTGGGGAGGGAGCTGATGAGCCAGATACAGCATGTTGGAAAAGGGATGAACAAGACAGTTCAACTAAGTATACAAGGTATGTTTAAAATGTGTGGGACTTGCTCTAAAAATGTAAACAGGCTTAGCAAGAGTCTTCATATCCAGGAAAGAAGAGTTGCTTGGGATGGTGGGTACGGGGTGTACAGTGTAAAATTAGAACTAGCTGTGATAAAATTTGGTAAGGGAAAAACTAAAAAGCTGAACAACTGGAACTGTGTCAATAGGTAAGTAATGGAGCTTCATTTCTTGGGGCACTGAAAGCTAAACTAGGCAAATCATTAAGGAATGCTTCTATACCGGAGGAGGCCAGACTAGATGGCCAGCTCAGTCTGTTTTAGTTGCTTTTACTCTCGTCAAAGCCAGATTTAAATAAAAGAAAGCCATTTAGTGTGAGGGGAAGGATGGCATGTCCAGCATGTGCTAACGGGAAGGCAAGCATCTTTATAGGCATTTGGATTACCTAAGGTGCATGTAACTGTAACTGTGAACACACAAGCAGGCAATAAACTACACTTGCATTTACACCTCAGGTGTCTTGTTTTGAGATGATCATAACTTCCCAGCCGGGGAACATGTGCATATTCCTCCCCCAACATTCCTTATAAGTATTTGTTTCACCATGCGCCACCACTTGGCTCTGAGACCTTTGTGGGCCTTTCCAGCAGGAAGAAGCAAAACCCGCTCATCTGGCTTCAGTCTGTTTGGATGAAGCTGGATCAGCAGGTTTGCAATGCCTGGGGATGTGGTTGCCTTTGAGTCTCACACTCCCACTGAAAGCACTTCTGGTAAACCAGAGCTATGAGAGAAGGAAGCCTGCAGGGAAAGGTATACGTGTACTGTGACTACACAACAGGGTTTATCCCAGATCAAGCCACTGGTGTACACCAGCCAGTCAAGTGGCATCAATGGAAACCCCAGCTATGATTAAGGCTTCAGTGGCTTTTTCATGCTCTGTTAAGCACATACCAACAACCTGCTCAACAATTGTCATTCTGCCCTGAAACCTTGTATGTTAAAAACACATGTTCCTGAAAAGCGCTTGTTCTGGAAGAAGCGCTGCTAAATTACCTGCTATACAATAGAAGCAGCAGCAATTTTCTTTCTGGCCTTTGGGTGCAGTTACAAACAGAACAGGAGAATTTTGATCAATATTTCTGCCTTGCCTTATATGTGATTTTTGAGCTTCTCCGTCAAAGGTATTATCAAGTAGCCTCATGCAGGGGTAGAGGAGTCTCTTTGCATGTATTGTTGATGTACAGATGCCACGGCAATTGGTGGATTAATGTTGTAAGAAACGAAAGGGCAGATAGAGGCACCATGTCCTTCCAAACAATTAATGACACCGAACCTAAAGCCCCGAAGCACCCAGGAAACTTGATAGCATTGAGGTTCTGCAGCGACCAAAAGCAGAGCGGAGGCTCTGTGCGTGCCTTGCCATACCAGAGCTGCATTTTCAGAGTGTAACCCCAACTCCCAGTTTCCAGCCTTTTAAACACTTGTGATTTTCTGAAAGGTTTTCACCCCTAAGAAGCACAGCTCTGCCGTGGAAAGTGACTATAGAGATGGCCTTGTCGGTTTCCATGGTGATGGTGTCTGACTCCAGATCAGAGATGTTCAATTTACAAATAGATTGATTTTTTTTCCTCTAAAAGCAAGTTCACCCTTGGAACTGCAGCTCAGGGGGCATCTGTCCCAACTCACACATCATCGCTAGCATGCAAGGCTCGGCCAGCCATGGGCTGTTCTGACTTATGCCTGGCCTTCACATCAAGTCTTCACTTACACCCACATCTCCAGTGGGGTTGGTGAGGGTATCACTTACAGACCAATTTAGTGACCAATTCTGCGGATGACTCAGAGGACAGGATAGATCCTGACCCTGCTCTCTTGGGTCTGCAGGGCATGCCAGGGCCAGAAGCACTGACATCTTTTTGTCACTAAAATGTCTATGTACCAGTGGGAGAAGCAAAGATTTTTGTGGGTCATATCTTTTACTGGACCAACTGTAAAGGTGGTCCTGGCAGGCCTGAGGAAAGATACTTGGTATCCAAAAGCTTGTCTGTATCCCTACCCTCCCAACTATAAGGTAGGTCCCATAAAAGATATCACCCACAAAAATCCTTGTTTCTCACATTTTTCCTGGACAATCACAGCTACAACCTACCCCAGAACTACCACTACATAACTATGGCTCCTTCTTACACATGCCTGCTTCAAAGCCTGTTGACATCAGTGGGAAGATGCCCAATGGATGTAGACTTCCAAT